TTTCTCTCCCTCTGGCCCATCTGTTGACCCATCAGGCTATCAAAATAAATAAATGGAGGTTTCTTCTACGAAATCCATTGTGAGTATCATCTATTCATATTTATCAATTAGATATATAAAAAAAAAAAGATGAGTACGATGAGTAGTTCTAAGGTTTTTCACCAAAATTAGTCTCTATATAACTTTCTCTATATACGAGGTGTCCAGATTATATAGCTTTCGCTTAAACATTTTCTTGAAATAATAGAGAAAAGCTTGTCATCCACTGATATGGAACTCATTAGTGGTTATCAAAATGAAATAACCGGAGGTTTTCGTCGTGTACACCACATTTATCAATTAATTATTACGGAAAGAGCGCGAATGGGCAGTTATAAGGTTTTGAACCGAAATCAAAACCCATATATATATATATATATATATATATATATTTCTTTTTCCTTCACGGATTACACGGCTTTCGCTGATATATTTCTTCCTCTATTTCCAATTAGATATTTCTGCACGAATCCATGAAATAACAGAGAAAAACTCGTCATCTACGAAGTGGACTTCAGGTTGAAATGATCAGTCCGACCGTGGTAATTTTGTATCTGTAGCACAACGTCAATGACTCCAAAATCACATCGGAAGGCCGGACCTTAATCAACGCACGTGGACGAGACGGTTTGTGTGAAAGCCGAAAGTCATGTCCAAATCGAAGTCCCTGTGCATAACGCCGTGCCGTCTCTCAAAAGGCAAATTGAGGTGTCACAATCTTTCACATGGGGCAGGAGTAATTATCACCTACAAAAGGTTGTACGGAAAGGAAAACTGCAACCCCATCATCTCCGCCGTTGGATCTGCCTAACTCCGTCACCACATTCTTGATGGAGATCTCTCGGGAGACCTCGTGCGTTTCTACTCGCTTTGCCAAGCTATTATTCAAACCAGCCTCTCAAGCAATTCCACCAAACAGTAAAACTATATATATTACAATATAAATATATATAATATATATTATATCACAATGTTATAAAAAAAAAAAGTACCCGATATATTACAGTTAAAAACCCATTACTCGAGCTCTTTTCTTTCCCTAATTATAAATGGGAAATTACATAATCAGTCATAATCTTATAGTACGTATAGAAATTTAATCATTAACTTTTTAATTTTTCTAAGTGAGTCCTATGCCTTTGCACGGAATTCCAATATGGTCCTTTCGGCAAATTTCTGTCGGAAATCGCTGATCTGGCGGCGTGTCATGTAGGACGTTGAGCGATGATTGAATCGCCACGTTGGGGATTTCTGGCAAAAATTGATTGAAAGGACTATATTGAAATTTCATGCAAAGATTTGGAACTAAATTGGTAAAATTGAAAATTTGGGGACTGAATTGATATTTGTACAATAGGTTTAGGGTTGATAGGGTAATTTTCTCTAAGTATAAACATAAATATTTATAGATATGAGGACGTTGTTCGGCCCATCATTACTCAAATTTCACGTGAAGTTCCTAATCCGGCTTGCACGTGAAAGAAGATTTGAAAGTATCTCGCATCACTTATATACCGAATATACATACACACACATACACATGTGCCCTCTTTATTGACTTGGCCTCATACGAAGCCTTTTCCTTAGCTTGATCAATGGACATAGTCAAATTTTTAGTGCCAACACCTAGTTAAGGCATATCCTGTGTTGAAAGACTTTCCAGCTATTAATATCTTGGTGGGACTACGATGATAGGCTCGCTAATCTCAAATTTTTTAATTGAGGATGATGCGAAGTAATTATAGTTCAAACTGAACATTTTGTAATGAGTGCGAGACCCTTATACTAAACTTTGAAGGAATTGCTAGTGACGATTGCCCCTCCAGCTCTTTTTTAATTACAAAGAAATGAAGAAGGAAGATCAGCTAAAAGTGAAGAAGGTAACTAACTTAGTAGAAATGATTTCATCAGCCCTAGTCACACGTTCAAATCACCTGAAAAGTGGAATTTTATGAAACTTTCAACAATTTTTTAGAGCAAAAATACTATCATCAATCCCTTTAATGGGTAGTACAAATTACAGGTCATGGCATCTTTCTTTCAATTGATTTATATTAAGTACATATATAGTCACATGTACGTTCAGTCCATTTCGTCAATCAACAATTTAGACAAAAAATTAAAAAGAGTGAAGGAAGAATTCATCATTCTATTAAATTCTCAACAAAAAAAAAATATATGAATTCCGAATTAAAGGCTGTAAAAATTGATTTTACGCGAAATGATTTTGATAATGGCGCGGACGGACTTTCATTTGAAAGAATGAGAACCGAAATGATTAACTACGATTTATTTATTTTTTTTAGGGAATTTTTACCAAAAGCCATATTTGTTTTTTCGCCATTCCATAATGATATGAAGTGTTAGGAGCGCATACAACAGCGGTGAACATCAATTTACTATTTCTAATTCATCTAAAAAATCCCACCCCCAATTTCAATTACCATCGATGAATTCAATTGAAGGTCGCTAATCGATTTATGAGACTCTAGGTGTTTAACAGGCCTACTGGTAGCCGGACCTCTGCACTCATACCATTAGGTTATCAAAATAAATAAATGGAGGTTTCTTCTGCGCAAAGTTCATCGTGTATACCTTACTTATCAATTATCTATTGATAAAATTAATAGCACGAATGGGTAGTTACAAGGATTTGGGAAAATGACACGAACAAGTCTAGACTTTGGATGGAACTATCATAATATTTATAGAGATCGTTCGGTTCGACTCTAAATGAGGTTTTACTTTTAATATTATAGAGATCATAAACTAAAATATACTTGAATGGAACTATCATAATATTTATAAATACCAAAACTTAAAAAGTTAATGAAAAAACAGTCATATTTTTTATTGAAATAAAAAGATATACTAAAATCCAAGTATTAGTATAATTACGAATACTTTTGATTTTTTCATGGAAAATTTAGGGACTAGATTGAACAAATTGAAAGTTTGTGAACTAGATTTGAACACTAACGAATTAAAAGTTCAAAGATGATATTACACATTGGGCCAAATTTTAGCAATTATTTGTGTCATTTCCTTTAAAAATTTTAACCAAAATTAAGACCCATATAAGTTTCTCCAAATATAAGGCATTCCTCGCGGATTATTTAGCTTTCGCTGAAATATTTGCTTCCTCTTTTTTTCAATTGAATACTTTTCGTGTAAACCCATCAAACAATAGAGAAAAGCTTGTCATCCACTAATTCGGAATTCATCAATGGTTATCAAAATATATAAATGGAGGTTTCTTCTATAAAATCCGTCGTGTATACCATATTAATGATCAATCAATTATTAAAAGAGGAGGGCGAATGGGTAGTTGTAAGGGTTTCCAACCAAAATTAGGACTCATACAAATTCCTTTTTTCTTCACGGACTATACGGCTTTCGCGGAAATATTTTCTTCCTCTCTTTTTGTTCAATTAAATGTTCTTAAGTAGATCCACGAAATAATAGAGAAAAGGTTGCTATCCATGGGGCGGATTCCGTGGTGGTTTGACTATGGCAATCTCGCATCCGAATCATAACATCTCGCGTTCAAAATTATTTCGGGAGGCCCCCACCTTCACGAGCGAAACCTTATCCGATAGTACATACAGACCAGGCGGTTTCGCGCGAATTGGCGGAAATTAGTCGAGCCAAAAAAGTCGGGTTATCAAACAAATATCAGTAAAGTCATGTCCAAATCGAAAGTCCCGTTCATACCGTGCCGTCTTAAACGGCAAGTTCATGGTCACAATCTTTATGACAATACGGGAAGCTACTCGCAAAGTTGCAACCACGTCATGTTTTCCCCGTTCGATCTGCCTAGCTAACTCGGTCGCCCCCCATTATTGATAGGGATCTTTTTAGGGGACTTTGGTGCGCCTCTCCTACTCGCTTTTGCTAAGCTATTGTTCAAACCCAGCCTCTCAAGCAAATTCCACCAAACAATGTCACATGCTTACTAATGTAAGTCGAGCGTATGATTTTTAACCAAATTAGGATTGGTGAATTAAATTTCCTTGACTCGTAATTTCTCCATAATTTCTCTTGCCCTTTTCTTCCCTCTTCATTGTGATACGTCGCATCCATGCGCGTGGCTAAAAAAGGTTAAAAACGGGAAAAATTACTAAGTCTTTTAGGCTCCGCTCGTTTCGCGGAGACTGAATGATCTGTAGAATATTTTTCTCAGAAATGATCGCTCGTGTTGCTCGTAAAAATGAATGAACGAAAAATATTTTCGTCGTCCAAGAAAACGTCCAGACATAAATTGTTGTCGATAACGAAAACATTTCCCATTGAAGCGATGTAAGCAATCATTTTTAAGAAAATATTTTTCAAATCATTTATTTTCTACTAAATAAACGAAACCTCTATTATAGTAAACTTTCGAAATAAGTTCTACCCTGGACCGTCGTTATTTGCAAGGCTCCACAATTTCGAGTATGACCGAGGATATTATCAATTCGGGGAAATTCCGAAACACGGCCTATTCCAAACAACTCAAAATCCGGTGGATATTCCGACCCACCAAAAACAAATCCGTTAGACATGTATGTGTGTGTATATATATATACAATCAAAATCAAATAAGACGGCTCGTGTACAAATTTCTTAAATTGGGGAAAATCTTGTCTTGCAATGTTCTAATTTTAATGAGGTCGGGGGGGACCACCCACGTGGCATGTTCGAAACTTGGGGAAAAAAAAATTAAATCATCGACCAATCTAACTTTGCACGGGCCGCGTGGGAGGGTTTGATGGGCAGGTAACGAACGGTGGCGACCGCACCAAACACACCCCCCAACGAGAAGTCACGTGCCGCACGGCCTCCCGGACTCGTTGGGTGCGCCCCCCCGAGCACGTGACTCCCCACCCCATCTACCCCCTCTCCCTCTTTGTCGTGTATAAAAGACCCGCCTCGATACCTCCCAGCACATCGACACACACGCTGCTCTCTCTGCTTCCTTCCGATCATCGATCACGTACCCTCTTCCGCCACCGCAGAGGCTGCGAACAGGGTCCCTGCAGGCAGCATGGTGACCGTGGAGGAAGTCCGCCGTGCGCAGCGTGCCGAGGGCCCCGCCACGATCATGGCGATCGGGACGGCCACCCCGCCCAACTGCGTCGACCAGAGCACGTACCCGGACTACTACTTCCGGATCACCAACAGCGAGCACAAGACCGAGCTGAAGGAGAAGTTCAAGCGCATGTGTAAGCATCATCACACACCTACATATGCTCTCTCTCTCTGTCTCTCTCTCTGTCTCTCTCGTGTTCCTTGTTTCGACCTTTGTGGTTCTAGACCACTACTATTCTCGTATATTGATTATCTTCCAAAAGCAAAAAAGAAGCAACATCGGGCAGAAAAATTTCATGTCACTTGGTATTTGCATGAGCATATGAGACTCTAATCCACTGCAAAAGATGGGTACATGCTCATTTCGTCGCTGTCATTAGGCGATCGCTATGTACACATAAGATGTGATTTCAATATTTCCTTTTAAGTTGGGTCGAGCAAGGTCCGCTGATTGAAGACGGACAAAAGGGTAAATAGAAGAAGATAAGGATATATGTTAATAATCAGGCAAAGAAGGGAAGTATTCCTTCTTCTGTATCTTCTAATTAAGAAGAAAAACAAAGTGCGTGTAACGTCGTAAAGTCATGGAAAGGAAAGAGAGGGAATTTCGAAATTACAACTAGATGCGACAACTATTAAATGCCTTTAGGCAAATCGGGTCGTGGTCTATTCGGTCGATCATGGAATTTCAATTGCCGTCGAGGCTTAGGTGTACCGCGATATATATTAACCCATCGTCACAATTATAGCTGCCGCGGCATATTCACATAGGTATTTTTGGAACACAACAGATGATACATGTACCTCAACCTATGTGGAAAGACTTTATAAGTAGGGAAAGTCATCTCAATCTTGTTACTTCCGGGCCTTCTGCATAAAGCTGCGTTTTTCATAGTATATGACCATGGAAATTCTGCTCTAAACCATGTCAATCAACACAATTTGCAGGCGAAAAGTCCATGATCAAGAAACGCTACATGCACTTGACCGAGGACATCTTGAAGGAGAACCCTAACATCTGTGCCTACATGGCGCCATCGCTGGACGCGAGGCAAGACATGGTGGTGGTCGAGGTCCCGAAGCTCGGCAAAGAAGCGGCGACGAAGGCCATCAAGGAATGGGGGCAGCCCAAGTCCAAGATCACCCACCTGGTCTTCTGCACCACCAGCGGCGTCGACATGCCCGGCGCCGACTACCAGCTCACCAAGCTGCTGGGCCTCCGCCCGGCCGTCAAGCGGTACATGATGTACCAGCAGGGCTGCTTCGCCGGCGGCACGGTCCTCCGCCTGGCCAAGGATCTGGCCGAGAACAACAAGGGGGCCCGCGTCCTCGTGGTGTGCTCCGAGATCACTGCCGTCACTTTCCGTGGCCCCAGCGACAGCCACCTCGACAGCCTCGTGGGCCAGGCCCTGTTCGGAGATGGCGCGGCCGCGATCATCGTGGGGTCGGACCCGGTGCCCGGGGTTGAGAAGCCGATGTATGAGGTCGTCTCGACGGCCCAGACCATACTCCCGGACAGCGATGGGGCCATCGACGGGCACCTCCGCGAGGTCGGGCTCACGTTCCACCTCCTCAAGGACGTCCCCGGGCTCATCTCCAAGAACGTCGAGAAGAGCCTCGTCGAGGCCTTCCAGCCGCTCGGCATCTCGGACTGGAACTCCCTCTTCTGGATCGCGCACCCCGGCGGCCCGGCCATCCTGGACCAGGTGGAGGAGAAGCTGGCCCTCAAGCCCGAGAAGCTGCGCGCGACCCGCCACGTGCTGAGCGAGTACGGGAACATGTCGAGCGCGTGCGTGCTGTTCATCCTGGACGAGATGAGGAAGAAGTCGGCCGAGGACGGGCTGAAGACCACCGGCGAGGGGCTCGAGTGGGGCGTGTTGTTCGGGTTCGGGCCGGGGCTCACCGTCGAGACCGTGGTCCTCCACAGCCTCGCCGCTTGCTAAGGCTTAGCAAGACACTCTCTACATCGTTTCATTTGTTTGGTTTGTCATCAATTTCTCTGAATTTTTTTCACTTTTCTTCTCTTTTCTTTTGCAGTTTACTTAAGTCATTAAGTTGCGCATTTTGAGTGTCGAAAAAAGGGGGTTTGCGATGGGCGAACGTGGTGCTTCTGGGGCTACATTGAAATAAATGGGGAGGGGAGTTATGTGTACCAAAGATTTCCCCAATAATATTTCATATGCAATATATGTTGATGTGCTCCAATCGATATTTAGTAGTTCTAATTCTTGTCTAAGCCCTCGATTATTGTTGTCGCATTGATCTTGTTACCACCAGATGATAGAGATGGAAAGTATGGCACTCGAGCCCGTGCTCGAGCACCTAGCTATTAAAAGCACGTTTGAAAAGGCGAGTGCGACTGGTGCATGGACGTGATTTCAAGGAAAAATTACCAATTTTGTCCTAAACCTATTGTATGAAACGCGCATTGGTAATATCATACGGTGGCAATTGACTGGAAAGATAACATTGAAATTTCGCACAAAATTTAAAACTACACTGGCAAAATTGAAAAGTTTGAAACTGAATTGGTATCCGTACAAATGTCATTTTGCGACATGGATTATCCATAAATGACTAAAAAGTCGTAGAAGAAAATAAAGCTACGAAATTAGCCACACAACCGCTCAGAGTTGCAATTTACAATTAGACATCAATTTCTTAGGGGCTAATCAACACTCTTCTAGCTCCAGAAGTTTGCTCTCTTTCTCGATGACAGAGCTGCTTTCGACAGAAGAAAAGAATGTCATATGACTTGTGAATCGTGTAAATCAAATCCTACTCCACTTTTGATTGTGTGAATCGCATGATGAACTCACGCAACTAATAATTGAAATAGTATTGGTCTACACGAATTATAGACCGTGCGATAATTTTCCCGATAATAGACTAGGTAATCCTGTCGCGTGACCGGAGCAACCCTATAATGTCTGGTTCGATATATGAGCTCATTAAAGCTATGGCTTAATCCCTTAGAGCAAAAACAAGAAGAAACTTCAACCCCCTCAACCAGTCAACCTCTCAAACAGTCACGTGACTCCAAATAGTCAAAACACCGAAGCCACATGCCATCCAGCTTCCCGATCACGTGACTCTCATCTACCGCATGGCTCTCCAACTCTTCTCCATCAGCTCGATGCTCCGCTATTCCTCCCCCCCCCAACAACTTTTTCGGCACCGCTTCGGCTCTCAGCTCATTCCGCCCGGCAGCCGCGACCTTCCCACACTCGCTTCGGGGAAAGACGATGGCCACCGTTGAGGAACTCCGCCACGCCCAGCGGGTGGAGGGCCCCGCCACGATCATATGGCCATCGGGACGGCGAACCTGCCGAACTGTGTTGGCCACAGCACGTCCCCGGACTATTACTTCCGGGCACGAGCAACGAGCACGTGACGGAGTTGAAGGAGAAGTTCAAGCGAATGTGTAAGTACATACGAGCTTTCCTTGTGTTTCTCGTACGTCGAGTTAACCTCGTCATCGGTTTCGTACAAAAGAAAAAGAAAAACCTAGTCATCGGTACCCATGTTACGTGGACTAAAGCAAGTATGCTGATATTGAGCTGGGCATGGTGCATTCTGATAGTGATCCTACATCTTGTTGTATGCATTGAAAAAGAAAATGCAGAGGCTCATTCCATCGCTAATGATATGTACTGGCGGATTACTGTGTGTCGGCAACATTGTGATGACTATGTTGCTTCAGTAGGGTTTAGCGTGGACCCGCTAATTAATAATGGATAAGAAGCCAAATGGAGAAAGTTAAATGAAAATGTCTCTAGTCGATAAGGAAAAGAAGCTCTGGCAGAAAAATATATAATTACAATAATAGGATTAGTTTTAAGTACGCGAGCGGGGGTAATCTTTTTCGCCACAACCTATGTTTATCACCATTGATTTAGATATTTGGCCGACTTTTTGAAACATGACTGCCCGCATCGTGGGTGATGAAGGAATGTAATAAAATGGTATGTCCGGATTTTAATCATATAAAAAATCCTGAATAATGAGAGAAAGTTGGAAAACAATTTTCCTTCTCATAGTTGAAATTTAAGAGGAAGAAAGATAGTGCATGCACCACATCGAATAGTGAGGAAAAGGAAAGTGAGGCGATGGGAGAAATCGAGCCCAAAATGAGTAGCTAATATTTCGTGAGATTTTTTTTTTTTTTTTTTTTTTGGGTTTGATCCCTGGGACTTTGAGGTCCCCACCTCGATCTTCCAGCTACCGGCCCGGAAGGGTGAGATGAAATTCAACAGATCTAGCGGTTCAGATATAGTTTGATACGTTTAGTATAATACGCTCGAGAATGATCTTGTCTGGACATGGGTTGTCGATATATCTTTAGGTATATTTAACCGCAGACTATGTAATCAACTACTTTAACGGGGAAAACCATCTAGGTATGTCTGTAAAGAACTTCTTAGTAGGAAAATTATTGCTTTACATTTGTCTGTTTCTTCTTACCTCGATAGATGGGATCAAACAATTTTGTCTTGACTCGAGGATTCACACATTTTTCAGGCGAAAAGTCAACGATCAAGAAGCGCTACATGTATCTTTGTGAGGAGATGTTGAAAGAGAACCCTAACGTTTGTGCCTACATGGAACCCTCATTGGACGCTAGGCAAGGCATGGTGGTGGTCGAAGTCCCAAAGCTCGGCAAAGAACCGGCGACGAAGGCCATCAAGGAATGGGGCCAGCCCGAGTCCAAGATCACCCACTTGGTCTTTTGCACCGCCTGCAGCGTCGACATGCCGGGCACCAACTACCAGCTCGCCAAGCTGCTCGGCCTCCGCCCGACGGTGAAGCTGCACATGATGTACCAGCAAGGCAGTGGCACGGAAGGCACAGTCATCCGACTGGCCAAGGGCCTAGCGGAGAACAGCAGGGGGGGGCGCCGCGTCCTCGTGGTGTGCTCCGAGATCAACGCCATCACCTTCTGCGGGCCAAGTGAGGCCCAACTGGATAGTCTCGTGGGTGAGGCCTTGTTCGGGGATGGAGCAGCCGCCGTCATCGTGGGATCAGACCCGGTGCCCGGAATGGAGAAGCCGATGTACGAGCTGGTCTTCACGGCCCGAACGATACTCCCGGACAGCGCCAAGGGCTATCAAGGGCCACCTCCGCGAAGCTGGGCTCGTGTTCCACCTCCTCAAGGATGTTTCTAAGCTCGTCTCGGAGAACATCGAGAAGGGCCTCGCGGAGGCCTTCCAACCTCTGGGCATCTCGGACCGGAACTCGCTCTTCCGGATCGCCCACCCCAGAGGGCCCGTGATCTTGGATCGGGTAGGTTGCGCACGACGCGGCATGTGATGAGGGAGTATGAGAACATGTCTAAGTCCATCCGTCCTGTTTATTTTGGATGAGGTGAGAAAGAAGTCCGCTGAAGATGGGCTCAAGACCACCGGGGAGGGGCTCGAATGGGGTGTGTTGGTTGCTTTTGGGCCTGGGCTCACTATTGAGACAGTGGTCCTCCATAGTCTGAGTCTCCCCTTGGAGGCTTAAAGCTTAACGAGTCTGATCTCTTTTTATTGAGGGAAATTGCCATAAATGGCCTATGAACTTTAGTCCAACATGTAATATCGTTCCTAGACTTTGACCTATTAGCAAATATTTAATCTAGTCCCTAAACGATATGAAAATGTTCAATGTCGTCATTCTGTGAATTCAAGTTAACGGAATGTGCTGATGTGGCTTCCAGATTGGCAAGTTTAAACAGTGGACGGAAACAATAAGTTACATATGGATTATCCAAGTAAGATATTCATCCCAAATCGGGATATATAATCCACGTCGTCAAATAATGTTGGGCATGTTAACGCCCTAATTTTCTTTTTCCCTTTTTAAAATAAATGGATGAAAAGATTAACATGTTAACTCGTCATTTTTAATACTCCAACTCAGCATATAATGATAATCAACGTCATCAAATAACGTTTAATTTGTTGTTTGAGCAGTCGAAAGGACTACACTGAACGTTTACCAATAGTGCGGGGACACATTAGACAAATTAAAAATCCATGGACGATATCGCACATTGAGCCAAAGTTCATGGACCATTTGTATCATTTTCGCTTTTATTTACTTTTAACTCGTGAATACGCCATCTCAAGTTGCCAAGGGGGTGCTAGGATTTTTTTTTCCAATTAGGTTGACGAATAAAAAAAAGAGTTTATCCTATTTCCGGTGTTACTTCTCTTTGACACAAACCCTTCCGCAAGACAAAAGAGTTTCGGGTGCAAGCTTCCTCGATAGACTAGTATCAATGGAATAATGTCAATGTCCTTCATTTTCTTAACAACATGTGCTCTGCTTCCACGTGATGATCTTACATAATTTCACTTGTCACTTGTATATAGTATAGATTTTAACACCATGAACACTTTCAATTTGTTGATAGCTTATTATAGATCGACACTTAACTCCTTTTCAGACGGTAATAAGCAATTTCTTTTCTGTCAGTTGGTTACTTATATGGACATGGAATAGTAACCAATAAATTCATCTTCTAACTAGGTAGAGGCATTAGCCTTTTTATGAAAAAACCATGAAGGAACAAACTTTGGTTGATATTGAAATAGATGGGCTCTATATATTTAGGGTCCGTTTGTTTCAAAGAAAATGAATGATTTGAAAAACATTTTCCAAAAAATGATTGCTTGTATTAGTTGAAATAATTAGTTAATGAAAATTATTTTTATTATCGATAACAATTTATGTCTAAACATTTTGGTAAATGATGAAAATATTTTTTGTTCATTCATTTTTGTAAGTGATACGAGCCATAATTTTTAGAAAAATATTTTCCAAATCATTCAATTTCTTACGAAACAAACGCACTCAAACATCGACTTGTTTAAATCATAAATTTGCCGTATCTTTTAAAATACCCTGGGCATGTCTGTTTGCATCTAAATAAAAGAAATAAACTTTTAATTTTCCCGCTGAAATTGAAAACATTACTCAACTTTCAAAAAATAACGAAAAATTCGTACCCGAATCTTCGCGTCAACCCGAGTTGCTCGAAAGTTATCAAATTTAAGAAAAAAGTTCGAAATTCATGAACTGCTAAATTTAAATTAAGTAAATAAAAAAAAACACAAATAGGACCTAAACAATAACAACAATAAGAATTGTGAGTTAACTCTTCAATCGGAATTGTATTAAAAAGACCACTTGACACTTAGTTTACATTAATGCGAAAATTTCGAAAGGGAGAAAAAATAAATTCAATTATAA